ACTACTGCACTACCATGGCTCTTATAATAATAATAATATCAACCCCCTTGGATACACGTAGTCCTCAATTTACGACAATTCATTTAACAACTGAACAACAAGAACAGCACTGAATGAAGTGACCTAGGTACTCCCACTTGTAAGTGCCCCATGATCACATAATCAAAATTCAGGCACTTGGCAACCAGCGTGTTTTTATGACAGCTGCAGTGTCCCAGGGTCACATGATTGGCATTTGAGACCTTTTCATGGGGCTTCAGACCAGCAAAGACAATGGGGAAAGCTGGATCGTCTTAATGACTATGTGATTCACTTAACGGCTATGGCAAAAAGATCATAAAATCAGGAATAACGTATTTAACAAATGCATTACTTAGTGATGGAAGTTCCAGTCCCAACTGTAGTTGTAAGTCAAGAATGATTTGTAGACCCAATGAGTTGAAGGGTGGATATAAGATTAGGAAACAACAGGAAGGGGGAAAGCACAAGAAGAAAAGGCAGGTGGAAAGACAAAGGGGTGAACAGGGTAAGGAAAAAAAGAAGCAAGGGAGAAAGGACGGGGTGAGAAGTCTCAATGATGGGAAGCAAGATTTGAAGAAACAAAATTTATTTATAGACAATGGGTAAATTTAATTGAAAAAGGGATTCTGTAAGGTACATAAGATTGTGTTATTATAGGCATTTATAGAATAAAATGTTTAAGATATAAATATATAAATAAGTATTAATAGGTACGATTAAAATTTTTCTTTTTCTCTTTATATAATATATTGTGTGACTTTAGGATGTGCTAAACAGAATCCCAATACAAGTTATGTGTGATATTAAGTATTATCAGGTTAGGGGAAAGAGTTAAAGGCGTCATACTCTAATTAGTGTACAGGAGAGGTTTTGTTTAAAGAAAAAATGAATGGATAGTTGAGAACAGACAAAGAATGTTAAGTATTATGACTTGAACTGAGATGAGTAGAATAAAATTAAGAGAGTTAAAAAAAGGAAGAAGCTATATAGAAAATGGAAAACGGTAATAAGATATGGAATGATATATAAAAGGAACATGATTTTTGAAGAGGTGTCTGTATGATGAGTTTTAACCCGGGATCAAGCAACTTTCAGAAAAGATGTTTATGTTTTTATGTTTTATGTCTTGTTTGTTTTTGTTTTTTTTATTGGAAGAGAATAATGAAAATGTATAAGACAGATGGATATAAAAAATGTATACAATCTAAAGTTAAAGAGATATAATTTGAATAAATAGAAGGAAAAGAAGTAATAAAGAGAAGTTTGGGATAAGATATGAAGATGAACAGATAAGGTAAATATATATATCAAATTGTGCTTGTTTGGAAATGTGATAACTTGGAATAATTCTGTCTTTAAATAAGTTGTTGTATTGGCTTTTTAAAGAAAAAAAAATTCCTATGTCATTATATTTTATGTTTTGTTTGTCTGTGTATTGTTTTGGAAAATCAATAAAATTTGTTCAAAAAAAAAAAGAATGATTTGTAGACCCATTGCCCCTTGGGGGTCAATACTGGTCACTTTGGGGAACCTTACATGGAAGGGTTGCAAGACATTATAGGGAGAGGGAGAGAGAGAGGGAGGGAGGGAGGGAGAGGGAGAGACAGGAAGAAAGAAAGAAAGAAAGAAAGAAAGAAAGAAAGAAAGAAAGAAAGAAAGAAAGAAAAAGAAAGAAGAAAGGCGGGCAGGCAGGCAGTTGTAACCATGTTGCAGAACTCAATGTGGGAAATTGGGACTATCTGGGAAATGTTCTCTTCCCCAAAATAATATTTGAGAAAGAGTTAGCATTTCACCCATACCCACCAAATAAATGACAGAATGCTTCCTTGGGGTAGTGATGGGTGCATTCAGAGATACATTCAAAGCAACTGTGAGAAACTAAATAGACTATGTTTGTTCCATCAGGCAAACACATATAGATAAGAGATAGACAGATAGACAGATATCCACCCAGACTCACAGAAACATTTGATGCCTGCTGAAGGAAGCTATTTTCCACACCACATTAAGGCCATGTTTCCAATAATTGGCTTTGTTAAGTTAAATACCAGTTCTCAACACATGAGGGCACATTCACACAAAATATTTTCTATGCATTACCATGTAGTACCGTATCTTTCTAATTTCAGGATGAGCTTTGAACATCAGACCTAGCAGACAATCATCCCACTAAAACCCCACTGCCACAGGACATTTTTGCTCCTATCAAGGGCTGAAGACTGACCAGTTTTGTAACTAATAGTAATCTCCAGATTAACAATGACAGATTTTGAGCGCACAGGAGGTTAAAGGGGTAAATTCAAAACTCTAAAACTCAAATACAAGTCTGTTGTATCATCAGATATGTAGAAAAAAGAGATCAATTTCATACAGAGAACTATAGTGAAAAATTCATTTCTATTTTCTTGTCTCAAAAAACCAAAAACAACCCCTTTTCCATGTTTCAGACTCTCATTGCATTAACAAATGTAATGTTCCCTCAGTTTATGTTATTATTCAACAAAATGTTACCCATTTGGAACCTTTTTGTTATATATAAAATGGTTAAGTGCTTTAGGCATACAAAAATGTACCCATAAAGACTTTATTTTTCTTTTTACCTTTAAAAAAATATCCATATCACTGTCACTGACATGGTGAAACATTTCACATTTACGGCTATTACAGTGAAAACATGGTGGCAAGGAGGTTTGTATATTTACAAAATTCCCATTTATAGCATAAAATTATAAAACCATAAAGTGTAAGGGCTGGAAATAACTATCCATCCACTTAGATTTATATACCACTTTTTAGTGCCTTACAGACCTCTCTAAACGGCTTACAAAGTTAGCATATTGCTCCCAACAATCTGGGTCCTCGTTTTACCAACTCGGAAGGATGGAAGACTGAGTCAACCTTGAGCCATTCAGGATTGAACTCTTGGCAGTGGACAGAGCCACCCTGCAATACTGCATTCTGACCACTGTACCACCACGGCTCCTGGAGGTCATGTAGTCCAACCCAGTACAGAAAGCAATTGTTGTATCTTTCCTAGCAGATAATCTAGCTTCCACCAATGAAGGTCCAACCCTCCTCAAACAGTCTGTTCTCATGTCAAAAGCAGGGAACAACTTACTGCTTTCTGCTGCTAGTACTTTATCACTAAATGTTAGATACATCATCTCCTTCCCAAAATGCATCCCTCACAATGCAGAATAGAGAAGAGATCACTGTTACTTTCCATCTCCATCCTGCTGCATACATAAAGAGGTTAAGGCTGGAATAACCCAAAGTTCATTCCTTTGGAAACGTCTCTGCTAATTGCCTACAATATTCTTTCCTGTGGCCCTTTAAAACAGACAGATATAAAGATAATGGTTGCTTATTCCTCATGCTTTTCTCTGCCTGCTTTTCTCTATTTTATCTGTTAGTTAACCATTTTGTTCTAGGCTAAGGTCTAATAAATAAATGCATTGAGTGGGATATGGCTTTGCTCTGACCTTGATACTGGCTTTGACAGGAATATGTTGGGGAGAGACTAAACTGGAAATTAACCACAGGTAATTTGTCAAATACTAATTTTTAATTTTTGTGCATTATTTCCTGCAGCAGAAATAATCAGTTCGAATGGGAATTCAAATAACTCTAGCTGAGTATAAATTTAATTAATGCCATTGTATTTCAGGGAAAATTCCAGTCATAATTATGAATAATTGAAAATGTAAGCTTGCATACTCAGCATCTAACTTTAAGTAGAAATTATAGCCACGTTAGCTTTTTAAACACAATCATAAAGGACAAAATAGCCAAGATGAGATGCTAACATTTAAAAGATACAGATAACTTATTTCCAGGAAGCCTACCTACAATTTTTTTTAAAAAGAGTCAGATCCTTTTAATAATCATGTAGATGAAATGCCACTTTATAAATGACTTCATCATTAAATTCAGCTGGAGACACACACTTATCAAGTCTGTGATTCATGTGTACCATATAAATAGTTTCATAACAACATTTCCAACAAGAGCACAAAAGTCAATAAAATAAGAATGTTTAAATATGATCAAGAACAGAATTTAACCATCTCTGGCTTTCAGAGGGGAATTCTGGTAAATTGATATCTCCATAGGAATGGAGAGACATCATGGTCAAGAATACTAATTAGAGGACTGAAATCTTCTTGTATCAAGGGAGATCGTGAGATAACCGTCAAACTTTTTCAGATTACACAAATAAATAACAGCCTTTAAGGATTTAAAAATTCAAAAAAAATTTTTTTTGCAAAAAGTTTAACAAAAACAAGATATAAGAAAGTTTAAAAACAGATATAGAGGAACAGTTAATTTCCACAAATTAAACATAAGGTATTACAAGATGGAGAGTTAAAAAGAAGATTGGGTCTATCTGATTTAAATGTGAAGATGATGGAACTCAAGAGATGGTTAGATTGACTTTTTTGATTACAGAAAAGACAATACCTACAACTGAGAACTGTCTGGAAATTCCTTATAGACTTTTTGCTCGAAACAAAAAAAATGAACTCATGATTCGTGGTTTTGATAATTAGAAAAAAAATCTAGTTAATAAAAAGCGAGATTTTTGTAACCACAAAGTAAGAAATAATTTTAATTGTACTTGTATTTGCTGCATTGAAACTTAGAAGCTTCTTCTTTCTATTTTTTCTTATCTTTTCTTTTGCATTTTTGTCTTCTTTTTCTCTTCATTCCTTCTCTCACTCTTTTATTTTGTATTTGTTTTTATCTTCTTTTAAACACACACACACACACACACACTGCAAGCATCTGTTTTACAGCTAAAAAAAATCATTGGTTCAGAATGCATTCACATAATTGCAATCCTACAGATGGCTACTTAACAGTATGTCCCCTCACAGCCAAAGTACTCATTCATGGGATTACCGATCTGATAATGCACAGAATTTTAATCACAGTTTTGGTCAATACATTAGTTTATATTGTTGTGTAATACCACTTACCATACCGATAGCAGGATCAGGCCAAATTTCTTCACAGATCCGCCATATGGATTCAACCACAGATTAAATGATAATCTCCAGCAGAGGGTTTTGTTCAGAAGTACATAGTCTGAAATTAGAAGAGATTTTTTTTTTAGTTGTTTTACAAGACAACAATATTAAAACTTTAGAACAGTGTTTATTTTGAGAAGTCCTTTTCAAAACAGTATGTAGGGAGCTTATACTGAAGTTACATTTGGGTTTTTTATTCCATTCACACATGTTGATTACCCTCAAAGGGCTTCAGAATCTAGAGAAGAAACAAGAAATAATAAGCCAAAGATGAAAAGCCTGAGAAAAAAGATAACCAAACCAAACCCAAAAATAGTCAGGACAAGGGATGACAGATGGAGCAAAACCAAAAAGATGGGACTGAGGCTAAAACCATTTTTGTTGCCTCTGTGTTTTGCTAATATTGTAGAATTAAAACTGAAATACAAATACAGTCTAGTGCATATACCATTTTAATTATTTTAATGCATAGGCAATGGAATGTAAATCCGCTATAGAAGAAGGCACTGAGTGACACAAAGTTCTTCTTATGAATTTGGACATCTGATCCTGCAGTATCTGATTTTCTCTGAATGCTTTAAAAATGGTGTTTTCTATCTGACCTATATCAGAGTCTGAATCTACACAGCCAATCAATTGATGATTACAGCAGACTCTCCTACTTCAAAAACAAAACATATCATTAATTGGGTAAAACTGAATGTGAACCAACTGGTTTTTTGGCTGAAATTTGTCACCAATGTATGCATTTTCTATGGAGAATTTTTAGCTATCTGTACTATAGGATCCATGAGCAACTGCTTGTAGTAGACTTTTAATTTAATAATATTTGTTCCTTTGGAGTTTTGGGAATTTTTGTCTATCTTTGTTGCAAATTATTATCAGAGTTTTACGTGATTCCTACTGCTATACAAAGGCAGCATAGATATTTCCATTTGTAATAACAGATGTCAGCATTCCAGGTAACAACCTCCAAAGAAAAAGACTCAGAGAATTCCACCTTCTCAAAAGACAGCAGACACTTCTTGAAGCTGGTGTGCAGTTTCTTATATTCTATATAGGAATTTGGTCCACTATTCCATGGAGATCTGCTTCAACTAAGATTTTCCAGAATAAATAAATTTGAACCAGTTTGGTATAATGGTGGTGCTGGTCTACAAACTAGGAGGCTGTGGCAGTGAATTCAGCTGTTCATATTCTCTTAGCCCAACCCACCTCACAGTGTTGTTGCTATGGGAAAGACAAAAGGTGAGAACATTAGATAAAGTACTTATATAGCCTTCAGTCGATGAGATAGATGTTCTGACCCAAACCTTGTTCAAATTAAACAAACAGAAACTGTGTATAAAGCAAACCCTTTTTTAATGCGCCGCTGGGAATTCTTTGCATTCCCAGCCAAGAGTCATTTAAATTGAATTGTCTGAGATAAAAGCAAGCCCTTTGAAGGTTGCAAAAGGCTGCCAAGAACAGAAGTCTAATTACTGATAAATATTAACCAACAGAAGTTTCAAAAACAAATGAGTTTGCAGGGCTTCAACGAGGACTCAGAGTCTAAAGAAATTCTGTTATGTCTGTGGAACTGGTTGGAGTCCCCAACCAGGTCCGCTGTTTGAGCGGGAGCACCAGCCGCTCCCACTGGCTGGCTCCGTTTGACAGCCGGCTATAAAAGACGGCTGTCGAGCAGAGCCAGCCCGTTGCCACCAGCTAACCTGCTAGTTAGAAGGCAGACGCGGCAACCCTTTATTCCCTGTAATAAAGCCTGTTCGTTGTTCACTCTGGCTCTTGCCTCTTCCTTCCGCCGCTCTACAACACTGGCGACGAGGGCGGGATATGGTCGAAGGCTAGCCAGACGTGCTTTTCAAAAGAGCTGTGGTCACTAAAGAGCGAAGCCACGGGCGCTGAAGCCGCAATCGCCGATGCTCACAAAGAGCGCGAAATTTAAAAAGCCTCCGTAGCTTTTTGAGCTGTAGTCACTGAAAGCGAAGCCACGGGCGCTGTAGCCGCAGCCGCCGGCGCTCACAAAGAGCGCGAAATTCAAAAAGCCTCCGTAGCCTAGAGAGACAGTCACCGCCTGTCAGCGCAAACCGTCAGCGCTCTTCTAAGAGCGCGAATTTTGAAATACGACTGAAGAGGACGAACCCTGCATCTTCAAAATGAATGCTAATCCAGCATTCCCACCATTCAAGCCAACCGAGGAAACGTGGGACTCATACAAAAATCGTTTCAGCTATTTCCTTGATGCCATCGGTTTAGCAGACATTAACCGCCTTAAGCAACAGAAGCCTTCACAGGTAGGAGCGGGGCAGAGAAACAACTTCGCCCCCAAACAACCTCCCATTTGCCTAACTTGCGGAGGCTCCCACTCTAGGGCATCCTGCAGGTTTAAGAATGCCATCTGCCTGAATTGCCAAAAGAAGGGTCACCTCGCTAGAGTCTGCCAAGCAGGGCGTACTTTGCCTCAAAGACCTCCACCACCTTCTAATTCCCAAAGGCAAGTGGAGGACTGCTATACCTGCTACCACGCTAACCATACTTCCCAGACTCCTAATAAAATCAAAATTTCTGTTTCTTTAGAAGGTAAACCCTGCAGGATGGAGGTAGACACGGGATCTGCACTTTCAATCATCTCCTGGGAAACCCTAAAGAAGATCCAGCCCAGACTGTCGAAGAAGCAGCTACAGAGATGCCACCTGACACCGCGGGACTACCAGGGCAAGAACATCCCTGTCCTCGGGAAAGGCAAGTTTTTAGTTCAATTCCAAGCCTTTAAAGGCCATTTGCCTTTAGTGGTTGTTAATGGTGCCCTCCCCAGTCTGTTGGGGCTAGATTGGTTCCCCTCCCTCGGCCTTAGTGTAACTGGGATCCATGCTGTCTCAACTTCTGACGTAGATGCACTATTTTCAGATTACTCTGATGTGTTTAGCAGCGAGCTGGGTTGCTATTCTGGCACCCCCATCTCCTTCTCCGTGGACCCCCAGGCAATTCCTCTTCGCCTTAAGCCGCGCAGGGTGCCTTTCGCCATCCGTCCCAAGTTAGACGCAGAATTAGATAAGTTACTAAAGCAAGGGGTGTTAGAACCAACTGATTTTGCCAAATGGGAGACCCCCATAGTCACCCCACTCAAGAAAGATGGCAGTTTAAGAATCTGCGCAGACTATAAAACCACCCTCAACCGTTACCTGCAGGTCAGCGCATACCCCGTCCCTGTTATTCAGCACCTGTTACACACCTTCGAACCCGGCACCATTTTCGCCAAGTTAGATATGTCCCAGGCATACCAACAGTTCCCTGTTGATGATCAGACAGCTGAATTACAAACCATAGTCACACATAGAGGGGCATTCAAGTGTAAACGCCTCCAATTCGGTGTAAGTGTAGCCCCGGGTATATTCCAATCACTCATGGAAAGGATTCTCCAAGGTCTCCCAGGGGTTGTCCCTTATTTCGATGACATCTTAGTCTCAGCAATTGACAGACCTCACCTCATACAGAGGGTCAGAGCGGTTCTAGAGAAGTTTAGGCAGCATGGCCTCAAACTTAAAAGGGAGAAGTGCGTCGCCACTAGGCAAGTGGACTTTCTGGGATATAGGATAGATGCCTCTGGCACCCACCCAATCGAATCCAAGGTAAAGGCCATCCATGAGGTGCCCACACCAACTAACAAGACGGAGCTCCAAGCTTTTCTGGGGCTACTAAACTTTTACGCCTCATTTCTCCCGCACAAAGCATCTATCGCTGAACCCTTACACAGGCTGTTAGACAAAGAAGCCCCCTGGCATTGGGGACCCAAAGAAGCCCATGCTTTCAAGTCAGTCAAATCCTTACTCACATCGGATGCAGTTTTAATTCAATTTGATCAACGACTTCCCCTGGTCCTAGCTGCTGATGCATCCCCTTTTGGGATTGGGGCTGTCCTAAGCCACAGACTTCCCAACGGTTCTGAGGCACCAATTGCCTTCTTCTCTAGGACCTTCTCTACGGCAGAAAGGAACTACAGTCAAATAGATAAAGAGGCCCTGGCTGCGGTGGCTGCAGTTAAAAAGTTTCATGAATTTTTGTTTGGGCACCATTTTGAACTTGTAACTGACCATAAACCTCTCCTGGGACTCTTATCAGGGGATAAGCAAACCCCGCAGGTACTATCACCTAGAATGACCAGATGGACTTTGTTCCTGGCCGCTTACTCATTCAAGTTGGTGCATCGACCTGGCAAAAACTTGAGTCACGCCGATGCCCTTAGTTGCTGCCCCCTACCAGTCCCAGTCGAAGACCCAGTACCGGTTCACGCCATTTTTGAAGTTAATGAACTTAAATTACCGGTTACAGCCGAGGACATCGCTGCGCACTCAAAAAAAGACAAGATAATTGCCCAGGTTCTGGACTGGGTGGGAAGGGGGTGGCCGGAAACTCAATGTACCGTTGACTTTGCTCCTTTTAAAACCCGTAAGCAGGAACTATCGAAGCTACAAGGATGTCTGTTGTGGGGTACAAGGGTAGTCATTCCAGCCACTCTTCGTGTACCCATCCTGAAGGTGCTTCACGAGGGCCACCCGGGCATCGTAAGGATGAAGGCTCTGGCCTGCAGCTATGTTTGGTGGCCCGGCATGGATGCCCAAATCGCCAGCTGGGTAAGCTCATGCCAACCTTGCCAAGAAACCAGGGCTGCCCCACCAGCTGCCACGCCCACCAAGTGGGAGAGTGCTAGTGCCCCTTGGTCTCGCCTGCACATCGACCTGGCTGGACCGGTGCATGGCAGGACCTTCTTGGTGGTAGTGGACTCCTACTCCAAATGGATAGACTTGGCCCTGCTACCCTCGACTACCACTCAAGCAATAGTTAAGGCTCTGACCCGCTTATTCGCTACCCATGGACTCCCTGACACGCTGGTGTCTGACAATGGCCCACAGTTCACGTCATGTGAGTTCAGTATGTACGTTGCCAACTTGGGCATCAGACACATCCTTACAGCCCCCTTTCACCCCGCTAGCAACGGGATGGCTGAGAGGGCAGTCAGGTCAGCCAAGGAGGCACTCGCCAGGTTTGGCCAGGAAAACTGGC